TGAGAGGCAAAATTCACATCTAACAGTCATTCCACCACAACTATGTTCGAGAATTGCATCCTCATGTAGTCCATTTTTGCTGAGAAGGCAGTTCCTACCGGTATTGGTAGTACTTGTTGATGACTGTTCTCTTGACATATTCTGTCGTCGTCACCGCCTTCTTTTAACTTCAAAGGCACATTGGTCTTTACACATTTTCTGTCGATGACGCTGGTGTTTTTCGGCATCAGAGCAAGGTTTTTCCAATAGCTGGTCTTCAGATACATTCTGTCGCAGGCACCGCCTTCTTTCAAGATCAGACGCACATTGGTCTTTAGACATTTTCTGTTGATAACGCCGGCATCTTTCAGCTGCAGAGCTACGTTGTATCAACAGTTGTTCTTTAGACATAGTCCCACCTCTCTACTGTCACTGTCTGAGATGCAAGTGGATGAGAGTCCTGGATGTTAGGCCGCTGAGAGCTGTCTGACCAATGCTGATTCTGTAGGGGTGGGACTTCCTCCTCCCTGCTGTCAGTTTCCACAGCTGTGATGAGGAGGCTGGGGTGACAGAGAGAGCCATGCCCTCCAAGCCGCCCTCTCTCTCGCTCTGCTCTATATCCAGCAGCCTCCTGCTCTGCCAAGTCCTCCAAACCTCCCACTCTCCGCCCACTTTCCTGCTCTGCTCTCTGCTGGTGAAGATCCCGGGAGCCCACCTGGGGGTGGCTACAGCCTCACCTCCTGGGGCCGCTGAAGGTCCAGGGAGCCCGTGGGTGTGGCTTGGCTCAGCTGGCCTTGCCTCCCGAGGCCGGCGATGGTCCCAGGAGCTCACGGCTGCTGTCGCCTCCCGGGGTGCTTGACACCTGCATATGCAAGTTAACCCACCATCTTTGTCAGGTTAATTTGCATACTCCTGATTGGCTGGTGAGCGTAGTGGAGGGATGGTCAATTTACATGTTTCTCTTTTATTATATAGGATTATTAAAATTTAAATTTAGCTGTATAAATGATAGTACAGTATTTACTTTTTTAAACGCACACTTTCAGCATATTTTAATGATCTCACTAAATGTCATCCTTTGAACAGTTACTCTTTGCTGTGTTAATTTTTGATGCGCCCCTTACAATTTATTCCTTATACACTTTATATAACAGTAATATCTGTAATATTTTTATCTTATGGTCTTGAGTTTGTGGTCTACGTGACACACCTGCTTAAAACCAAACCTTAGCATTTTGTCATAGCCACCCCTGGACCAAAGTATATTTGATGTTTTAAGAGCATGCTACTTAGTTTTTTCTTATTCTTTCTACTCCTAAAATATCAGTGGTCTTGAGTTTGTGGTCTATGTAACACACCTGCTTAAAACCAAACCTTAGCATTTTGTCATAGCCACCCCTGGACCAAAGTATATTTGATGTTTTAAGAGCGTGCTACTATTTATTCACTTATGAAAGAATAAGAAAATAGTATTCCAACTCCTGATAAGAAAAAGTTCCTAGCTTTCAGTCATATTTTTTCTATGTGCTTATCATTGTTTTAGACGATGATATTTTATTTTTTTCAGGGACATTCATTGTTTTGTTCATACTAATTTCCATTTATTCTCAATATCATTTTTTAATAAAATGTATGACAAGAGTTAAAATTCATATTTGTGAATTTAAGAACCTGAATTCCAGAGATACATATAAGAAAGTAAACATGTTCTATCAGTTGTGTGACCTTGGCAATTAGTCTTTTAAAAAAAAATCATTTAAGATCATATGTAAATAGGTTGTAAAAATCATACATAAAATAAAGGTTGTTAAGAATCAGGCTTTTATGTACCAGGTGTTGTTTGCCACATTTTCCATATTAAAGTTAAAAAACTCCATTTGTATTTGGAAAGTGTTGTATGTTATAGTTTTACTTTATTATTTTGCATAGTTGTTAATAGAAAACAAGGACTTAATATCTCTGAAGCATATACAAGATAGTACATTGATGGATGGATTATGATGGTTCCAAAACTTCATTTTTAGTTAGATTTTTTTTTTTGAAACATTATATTTAGGTCTTACAAGAGTGCAAAAAGAAGCAATTTTTCATTAATTCAATGATACTTCCTCTGACCAAAGTTTTTATTAATCAAAATTGAATTAAGTACTGCTGAACATGCAGTTTCCCTTGTGTCTTTTTAACTTTATATATATCATTGTAAAAAATAAAGTATAAAAACAGTTCCTTTGAGGTGCCTCTGCTACTTTTGGTCATTCAACTTTGGGCAGTTTATCCTATTCAAAGTTTGGTGAGTGATGTTAAAAATCTTGTCATATTTTATTGAACACCTCCAGAAAAAATTGCATATTTGAACCTCCAGAATTTGACTAAAACATGCTATTTAATGTAATTGATACACTTTTTACTGCTGAGACTACATATAAAAGAACATTATGTCCTTTTACTGTCTATTTATTTAAGGATATTAGCACCACTCTAAGAAGCTTGTCTTTTTTTTACATTATTGTCTTTTTCATTATAAAGGGTACTAGAAAATAATTTTAAGAAAATTCTTATTTTCTTCTTCTGCTTAACTTTTTTCCTATTTTTGCTCTCTCAATACCTAAATTTCCATCTCTCTCTATTTTTTCCTAGATCTTTTATGTTAGGACTTTTTGTCTTGTTTTTTAGTTTTTAAATATTGAATTTCCATTACATATTTCAGTGCATTTCATTTATCTCATTTTTTAATTCCATACAAAATAGACAGACAAGTTCAAGGTTTAAAAGCAGTGAGTTCGAAAACTCACTTTTTAAAGCCTCCCCCCACCGCCCCCCCAGATTTGAACTTAAATTGCTTATTCTCTGTCAGCCATTTCCTGATCCATAATAGGTTGTAACTTGCAGTTGTCTTTTTCATTATATTTTGGTTGTAAAAACTGAGACAAATAGTATTTTGTTGGCATTCCTAGGGAACACAAAGATTAGCGAAGGAAAATATATAGAAAAATTATTTTGTAGTTTTGTTTAAAAAACCGTGTTTTTATAAAATTCTTTGGTAACTTAAAATCTCAGTCTTAAAATAGTAAAATGTTAACTAACCTTTTTAATTATAAGGTTTAATTATAAAAATTTATAATTAAAATTTATAATTGTGAACTTTGATGTTTTTGAACCTTTGAATATTCTAAAAATCAGGTATGTGGCAAAACTTGACAGATGTTCAACAATTTAATTATAATCAATTTTTTCTATTCCAAGACACTCTTTAGAGCAGGGGAATTTCAGAAATTGAGGAAGAGATAAGAGATTAATTGAAATTTTAAGAATACTAAATATATGATTGTTTGCTTTCAGTCAGAAATTGGGTTTGGGAAAATGGAAACCTACATCAAATTGGAGAAGCTTGGAGAGGTAAGTAAACACTTACTTTTAAAATGTAAGACTTTTTTTTATAACCTAAACTTCTCTATTAGTCTGTAGTTTTTTCCAACCTGCAAAAAAAAAATGTAAGCATTACTGTGTAAAAGTTCATATCTTCTTCTGAAAAGACGGTTAGAAAAAAAATCCTTAAATTCTTAAAATTACCCTATTAGTTTGAGAAAAAAATAGTATTTTCTATCGCCTTGTAATCTTTATTGAAGCACAAAATATTGAGTTTCCTTGGTAGCAATTTGATAGTTAGCTCCCTGACAATCTGCTACCTGTACTGTCATACGGGTATTACATAAGTTCAAACCTGTGAAAAATCAAAATACTATCTTAAAGATACTTGTCACAGAAAGAAATTCTTGGCTAATAAGACCTTGGTTTTCTTGAACTTGCTGCTATTGCTACTACTAATTTTGAAACGGTCTCCCTCCCAGAGTAAGAGAAGGTAAAGAAAATAAGAATTAGTTAACAGGGAATTCTTGAGAGAGTTTGAGAGCTATCCTCGCAATGATAGAAGAAATCTCCTGTAGAATACAATTGTGATTGGGTTTTTTTATCTTTATTGTTGAAAGTATTACATATGTTCCCTTCTAGCCTGCTCCCACCCCCAAACTCTATTTGTTTTTTTAAAGGAGAGTTAATGTTTAAAAATTCTGAAAACCAGTAAGATTTTGCCCTGACCGGTTTGGCTCGGTGGATAGAGCATCAGCCTGCAGACTCAAGGGTCCCAGGTTCGATTCTGGTCAAGGGCATGTACCTTGGTTGCTGGCACATACCCAGTAGGGAGTGTGCAGGAGGCAGCTGATCGATGTTTCTCTCTCATCGATGTATCTAACTCTCTATCCCTCTCCCTTTCTCTCTGTAAAAAATCAATAAAATATATTTTTTTACAAACAGATTTTTATAATTTAACAATATGTTAGAATTTCAATTTTCAGTTAATATGTTCAGTTTCCTCAATCTCCACATACTATTGCAGGTAAAGTGCCTTCGATTCTAAAGCTACTGATTTCTAATTATTAATCTGATGCAAAGTATAAAAAGTAAATTAGATATCCTTACATTTAATGATTTTAGGGCACCCTGGTTGTAAGTATGGAATCTGTGCATATGGAACTGAGTGTCCTTTTAGGTATAGGGAAGCCAAGGCTAATCAGTGTGGAGTTTTCCTTGCAAGGTAGAATTTAACATATGCTTAGATCTTAGAAATTTGGTTAGTGCTCTTTATTTTGTAGGTGGTATGGATATACTCTTTGTGATCTTTTGCTGTGTCTTTCAAAAATATATTTTATAGGGTACATATGCTACAGTATATAAAGGGAGAAGTAAATTGACAGAGAATTTGGTGGCATTAAAAGAGATCCGATTGGAACACGAAGAAGGTGCACCCTGCACAGCGATAAGAGAAGGTATAATTTGATCTTTTGTGAGTAAAATGTATTATATCATAGACAAATATTTGACATTGGGAACTGTTATATAATAGCACATTGGGAAAAGCTATAAGTTAGTATATGCAGAATGTAAATATATTTCTATCATGGTACCATTTTTTTAAAAATGAGAGATATCCAGAAAATGGTTTGAGGCACTGATGAGCAATTTGGAGAAAAAAGGTACCTTGTACTTTATATGTAATTAATCCTAGAAGTCTCAATAAGCTAACATTTGAGGGAAAAAACAGAAGATAATAAGCAGAGTATTATTATATTGGAGACAACTTTAAGTATTAAAAATATCAAACACAGGATCATAAAAGAAAAGAAAAAAAATTGACTCTATTAGAATTTCTACTTCAAATCCCCTTGGTGAATTAATGTTTTAAACTTAAGAGATTATTAAATATAATCAATTTATGTTAAACGTACTTCAGGTTATTATAAAGACAGGCTACCATAGACCAATAATTAACTTTCTTTTCTGTTTTGCAGTTTCACTGTTAAAGGATCTAAAACATGCAAATATAGTTACCTTACATGACATTGTTCACACAGATAAATCTTTGACTCTGGTGTTTGAGTATCTGGTAAGCATTTAATTAAAATTCAGTATTTACTTTTGCTTTTTTGTTGGATATTTTTTGAGGATATTTTTCCATTGATTTTTTAGAGCGAGCATAAGGGAGGGTGGGAAGTGGAGAGAGAGAGAGAAACATTGATTTGAGAGAAATATATCAACTGGTTTCTCCTGCATGCTCCCTGACCGAGCCTGGGATAAACCTGCAGTTCTTCAGTGCGCAGATTGACACGCTTAACTGCTGAGCAACACTGGGCAGGGCTACTTTTGCTTTAATAAAACATAGCAAATTGGATTTTCTAACAGGCCCAGAGACATTTTTGCTTAGTTATTGGTATATAATTAAATTATGGGGTACATTCAATATCTTTCCTCGGTATCACATAGTAAAGTGCTGTATTTTTTCAGGATAAAGACTTAAAACAGTACATGGATGATTGTGGAAACATCATGAGTATGCACAATGTGAAGGTATGTTTTAATGTGTAATTTTAAATTTTGTTTAAAGCAGAGACTAACCCTAAGCATAAACAAACTACATTACTTAATGAAATATACTAACTTGAGAACTATTCTGCTTCAGAATGATCTGTTTGGCATTTTAAAGAGGCTGTTGTCCTCTAAATAATTTATTCAGAACTTTTTTTAACTATACTACACTACTTCTTAAGTTCAGACTTTTTTGTAGAACCTGCTTTCTTTTAAAAATCTTAAAAATCACTTTTGACATTTATTTTCACATCATAACACTGATTCTCTTAGATACAGACTATATTTACACATGTAATCTGCTTTAAAAACAAAATAAAACCAAAAGCCTATTATATAAAAATCCAAATATTTAAAATAAATACAAATGATTAGTTCATTCTGTGAAAGCCCTTCTATAAATGGCAAACTTCCCTAATATATTTAAAATGGTACTTAATTATGAAACACAACTAGTATTCAAATTACTAATCTAGTGAGTAAGGCCAGGAATATGCAAGTATTATGAATAGTAGGCTGGAAATACCACTCTATTGTCAGGAGGAGAAGAGATAATTGTTCTGTTTTCTTACCTGTATATCTAAAGATGCAAGTAATGCCAGAAAAGTTTGGCATAATAATCACTGTCAGCTGAAACCCAAAAGTAAAGGAAAAGTAAAATCAAGTAAAAACATTTGATACAGTTGTGTTCTTACAGTAGGTTTCTTTGACCAAAGTGGTATGCGCTAAATTTAGCAAAGATTTACTTATCCAAACTTAGTGGGCAATTTGTGAGAAACTATTCTGGAAATAGGCTGTCTTGGCTGTGGGTTTGAGACAGTTCCAATTCTGTAGATACTAACTTTAAACTTACATTTTTTAAAAAATTGTAATTTTGATAGATATAAAGGAGAATCAGTTTCTTCTACTAAAGGACAATTCAGAGTATATTGGATACCACATTGCTAAGAATTTTAGAATAGGGCTTTCAGTGTCTTTCCATATACATTCTCTGAGAATTATTTTCATCACATTTTACATTTTATTTGGCAAGTTGTTGTAAATCTCATTTACATATATTTCTCTTTTTGGTTTTTATTTGTTTTATTTCCTGCTTTCATATTAGCAATAATTCGGAAAGAAAATAAGTCCTTAGTTATAATCTGACATAGATTTGAGAAATCTATGTCTTTTAATGCATGTCTGGCTTAAAGTATTTTGTTTATTTAAATAGCAAATTTAACTCTGTACTTTTATTTTTCCAAAGTTAAAAAGTAATAGGAATATATGGAAAGAGTAATTTTAAACAAACAAAAAAACCCATAAATATGTAGTGTAGAAACTCTGCTACTTAGAATTTCTTTAAACCTATTGTTTACCTGCTTTGGCTTATTCTCAGAGTTCTAGTGTAGTAATTCTCAACCCGTGTACCACAAGAATTGTTAAAACGTGCAATACCTGACTATTTAGTTAGGGGCACTGATCTCTTTTCCCTTAGGTTATCAAATACAAAATTGACAACAGGCAACACAACAATCTCCATTGGGTGTGAATGAATCAAAAAATTTTGTCAGATCAGCCCAAAATATATCTTTTGGTGTGCCTCAGAATTTTAGTAATTTATGTGTGCCATGAGATGAAAAAGGTTGAAAATCACTGTTCTAATGCTTTATTTTTCACCTCGAAGTAAACAGAGGTTACACTCTTCAGTCCTCTACTTCAGGCTTGTTTTTGTTAATCCCAAAGAGTCAAAAACCCTCTGTGTTTCATATCCCTTTTTCCACCAAAATCAACACAAAAAGTCTACATTAGCCTTAGGAATTGCTTCTTTCAAAGATTTATTTAGAGCTCTATAGTGCTAATTCCCTGTTCTGAATCATAGCAGATTTTGAAGGCTGAGTAGGAGGTGCTGAAAGTAAAATACCCAGGAGGTAGGTGATAGAAGCTGGTTTAGGTTATTTTTATAGCACATAATTTGCCAGAGCTGTGTGAGGCACTATTCTGTTTGACATCTCAGAGTTTTCATAAAACTACTAATTCCAATACCTTTAAAAGACATTGTCCCAGGTCAGGTTTTCTTTTTTTGGCAGGGTGGGTGGTGAGGATAGAGTTTGGTTGGTTGTTTTGCCAGAATTTCATAATCAGGCTGTAAGCCTTGGTAGGCCTATAAGTTTATGAGGATATGTGTTGTTTTTTAAAATTTTTATATATTTTTTTTTAATGATTTTAGAAACAGAGAGAGAGAGAGAGAGAGAGAGAGAGAGAGAGAGAGAGAGAGAGAGAGAGAGAGAAAGAAAGAAAGAGAAAGAGACATGGATGTTTGAGAAAGAGACATTGATTGCTTCCTGCTTACTCCCGAAACGGTGATCTAACCCACAACCTGGGTATGTGCCCTGACCGGGAATCAAACCTGCCACTTTTTGGTGTATGGGATGACTCTCCAACCAACTGACCACACTGGCAGGCAGGGCAAGGATATGTTTATTTTAAACTAGAGGCCCAGTGCATAAAATGCATGCACTGGCGGCGGGGGGACGGGGATGGGGAGTCCTCAACCCAGTGTGCACCCTCTCGCAGTCCAGGACCCCTTGCTCCTTACCATAAGGTTCACTGCTCCTTAGCGCTTCAGAGGAGGCGGGAGAGGCTCCTGTCACAGCTGCTGCACTCGCCAGCCATAAGCCCAGCTAAGTGGCACTGCCCCTGTGGGAGTGCACTGACCACCAGGGGGCAGCTCCTGCATGGAGTGTCTGCCCCCTGGTGGTCAGTGTGCATCATAGCGACTGGTCGTTCTGCTGTTTGGTCAATTTGCATATTAGGCTTTTATTATATAGGATCATTTTCTATAATAAGCAAACTATTACTTCTAATACAAAGTTTCATTTCACTTTATGAAACTGCTATTTTTATTTGCATAGATACTATCAGACTAAAAACATAGATTGATGTTTCAAATAGAAAACAACTATATAAGGAAAAGGTTTTATACTTAAGGGTATGATTCTAAGCCACTTGCTTTTCTCTTTACCATAACTTACACTTACACCAAAGTCTGTCTCATTATCTGTAAAACTAATTTCTATTTATTTGTTTCTGTAGCTGTTTTTATACCAAATTCTACGTGGTTTGGCATATTGCCACAGAAGGAAAGTGTTGCACCGAGACTTGAAACCACAGAACCTCCTCATTAATGAAAAAGGAGAACTAAAGCTAGCCGATTTTGGTACGGAATGTATGAGATATTTATAAATAGTTCTAGGTGGTTAGAACAACCGTTGACACTGTAATTGTTTTTATATGGGTGTGGAAATTTTCTATATAAGAAATTCTGAATAAGATATTTGACAAAAACTTTGGTAGGTGAGTTATGTTAGTAAATGCTAAAAGGCACCATTCTCAAGTGTGATCCCTAGACCCGAAGGCCCTTTCAGGAGGTCTCCAAAAGTCTAATATGTTATCAAATTTATACTAAATGTTATTTGCCTTTTTCACTGTATTAATATTTGTATTGATGATCCAAAAGCAATAAGGGATAATGTTACTAGTGCCTTGGTATAAATGAAGGCAGTGACACCAAACTGTACTTACCTGGTAGTAGTCATTGTATTCTTTTAGTAACAATTAAAAATTCAGTGTTATTAAGTGGTAAATTCTAGAAATTTCTATACTTATTTAAACCTTTACCATTTGTTTGAAAGGTAGGTTGCTATTTGTATTTCCTTCCTTAAAAAGGAAATGGTCATAGTTTAAACAAGAAAGTACAAGTTATTTGCATAGGCTTATATATATTACACAATCTCCTACACATGGTTTATTTTCCTCATAATTGTTATTACTCCCTCAGACTCTCTCCTCTTTTTTGCCAAGCTGCATTCACTGTTCTTTATTCTGTAATCCCAAAATGAATGGCAATGATAGAGAAATCCAGCTTGCCTATTAGAAATTCTATATAAGAATGGCAAGGGCCATCAAAAATTTACCTTTGGGAGGTCAAGGTTGGTGGGAAGAATACTATCAGTGCTTGAAATTTTACTTCTAACTTCTACAAAGCAAGCCAAGTAAATCTTCCACAAGCCAACAAGAAATTCTAATTTTTCCATAAGATAATATAATCAATTTTGTGTTTTGCTTTTAGTTATATAGTATTGGTTGCATTAGTAATGCATATGTGTTGCACTGAAACTTGAAACCACAGCCCTCCTCATTAATGAAAAAGGAAAACCAATATTTTTTTTTACTGGTTGCAAGTAGGGGAGGGTCAGGTAACTTTTAGTATTTTACTGTAAATTGTTTTTTATCCCTGTGAAAATTCTACTCTTTTTGCTGTAACTGGTGAAATTCAGGTTTAGTAAGTACTACTATAGACATTTTCATCTCTAGTAGAAAATGGCTTATATAATAATACTGTATCACATGTAAGTACTTTGGTTTGGAAGAGATTATTATTTAATTTCATGCCAATGCTGAAACATAGATTGTGAACCAGGACCCTGTGTGAACAAGCACCCTAGTTCAGAATTCTCTCAGGAGTAGGAGAGTAAGGTACTGAGGAAACTATAACTGGCAATTGTTTTGATGCCATAGGTTATAGAATAAGTCAACTTGTGGCCCTGTCCTTGCCCCCATATAACCACTATTCATATCAGGAAGAACGATCAAAAAGCTGCTCTCATCTTGCTAATTACCAAAATTGGTAGGAAAATAATTTGTTGAATTTATTTTTCCAAGTTAGGACGGTAGAATAAAACTTGTAATTAAATGAAATATTATCAACATTGTTCTAATTACACCCTTTAGTCATCAAACAAAAATAGTATGAATGCTACCTATTATTTTAAATTCTGGTTTCATTGGAGTGACTTAATCCAGTTTATTAAAGTATTATCATTTTATGACATTTAAAAGATGTAATATTTTAATCAGATATGTTATATATAACAGAAATCGAAGCCTGAAAAAGTAATTATTCCTTGTTTGAAATAAACTATATATTAAAATAAATTTATATTTCTTCAGACATCTTTTAAAGTTGCTTCTTCAGAATTTTGAGGCTTAGAGGTAGTAAAAATAACTCTCTTATGCCAATGGCTCAAGAGGGAAAATTGTGAACTCACCTTATTTCTGGATAATCAATGAATTCCATATTAAATTGGCAAAGGAATGGTATGTGTTTTATATCATTTACAACAATTAATAATACCCTTTAAAGGCAGTGAGGTTTGTCTTATTTTAAAATTATCCATATAACGTAAAATTTAAAAAGAGTACAGAAAAGCAGTGTAATTTATTCTAAGGAACTTTCTCTAAATAGATTTTTGCAAGAAAATTGTCAGTAAAACTCTACAGAATGGTGTCAAATGGGTACTAGACTTATCAGGGTGATCACTTCATAAGTTATATAAATGTCTAATCAGTATGTTGTACACATGAAGCTAATATATTGTATGTCAACTGTAATTGAAAAGTAAAAAAAAAATTTAAAAAGTAGGTTTAGAGATTTAAAAAAAAGGTTTGGGACCAATAGCTTCTCTTTTTTTTTGATAAAAATTGGTGTAGCAAATTAAAGTTGGAATCAGGTTTAAAGGTGATAAAAGCTTATAGCTGTAAGAAATAAAATTGTTCATCTCAATGTCATTGGTCCATTTTGCATTAATTTAAGTTTAGCTAGGAAATAATTTTGGCATGATTCATGGATAACAGGAAAATATCTTAAGTTTAAATTAACCCTGTACCAGGTGCATTCATATGCATAAAAGTAAGCATGATACCTATTGTGGGATTACTATTACTTAGTTTAATTACGTAAGGATTTGCTGACCCCTTACACCATGCGCAGTTAAAAAAAAATCATAAAACTAATTTTGTTAAGTTTTAAAAAGCTACAGAGTAGTCATCTCAGGCATCCTAGTGATTGGAGTCATGGTGAGGACATTCGCTGGGAAATTCATTATAGCTATTTCTTTTTTTCTTTCCGTTTGAAGGACTAGCCAGAGCCAAGTCAGTACCCACAAAGACCTACTCAAATGAAGTTGTCACACTATGGTACCGGCCACCTGATGTGCTTCTCGGTTCCTCAGAGTACTCAACACAGATTGACATGTGGTAAATATATGTGGATGTTATTGCTATTTATAATTTTGAAAGAATGTAGCCATAAATACAGGGCATACTGATAGATATTTGACTTTTAAGGAGATCTTAAAGAGCCATGAGATAAACAGTGACTAAGATTTCTGGCACGTAAAATCACCTAGGTTTAAATACCAATGCTACCCCTTATATCTGTATAATAACCTTATTCAGATTATAGACCTGTGCCTTAGTTTCCTCATTTAAGGAAATGGGAATAGTAACAATAATGACTTTAAATGACTGTTCTGTGCATAGTATTAAGGCCAAATGAGCTAATACATATAAAGCACTTAGAAGAGTGTCTGGTAATTTAAAACAAAATTATTGTTTTTATTGTCATTTAATAGTCACCAAAATCTACTTGCTTTAAGGTAATCTAAAAAGAATAAAATATTATAATCATCTTCCTCACACACCACTTTGATCATGACACCCCTTCATTCAAACACCTTTGCTCCTTCCCTATTCATTACCTTTAGAATAAAGTACAGTTCTTCACCCTGGTACTTAATAATGGTCTCTATAAAATGTCTCTAAGTTGCCTTTTCCAACTTACTTCAGAGGATCCCTATACACAGATGTTCCCTTTTAGCTAAATGGGCTACTCATTATATTTCAAACATAACCTGGGCTTTCCCACTTTTGCTGTGCTCACACCAGTCCATCCATCTGGAATGCCTGCTCTTTCTCTAATGGGCCTGTACCTAGGAACTTTCAAAACACAATTTTTCATAAATCCTTCTTGAATTTATAGCCTCTGGTGGCAATTTCTTCCTCTGAAATGCAGTTGCATTTCATTGCCTATAGCCTTCATGTAGTGATAAATCATATACTTCCTTCTGTTGTCCTGGGTTAAACAATTATATAATTTTGTTTTGTATAACAGTTTTCTTTTTTTAAACTTACTTTCTAAATTGTGGTAAATAAAATTTACCATTTTAATCCATTTTAAGTGTACAGCTGTGATTAAGGACATTCACATTGTTGTACAACCATTATCACCATCCATTTCCAGAGTTTTTTTCATCTTGCAAAACTGAAACACTATACGCATTAACTCCCTATATCCTCTTCCCACTATACCCATTAAACAGCTCCCTATATCCTCCTCCCTTCGGCCCCTGGCAACCATCATTCCACTTTCTGTCTCTGAATTTGACTTTTCTAAGTACTTCATATCAATGGAATTATATAGTCCTTTTGTGACTGACCTATTTCACTTAGCATAAGTGTCTTCAAAATTCACCCACATTGTAGATATTTGACTTTTAAGACTGAATAATCATTGCATAGGTGTGCAACATTTTATTTATCCATTCATCTGTCAGTGGACACTGGCATTGTTTTCTCCTTTTGGCTATTGTGAATAATGTTGCTATGGACATGGGTGTACAAATACCTCTTTGGGGCTTGCTTTCGGTTCTTTTGGGTATATACTTAGGAGTGGAATTGCTGGATCATATGGTAATTCCATTTTAAAAGTTTCTTAGGAACCACCGTATTTTTTCCATCATGGTGCCATCATTTTCTTTCTATATAACATTTTAATATATAAAATTAAATGTTATATACAGTTCTAGATTGTGATTCCTTAAATGGGAGGGCTGTAGTCACACAAATTGTAGAAGAGAGTATCTATTCATTTTGCCTCCATCCATTTCTCTTCCTTACATACACACATACTCAAACACTCTCTACGCTGCACCTACCTGTTCTATCTCTGTTTTCTGCATAAAAACATCTTGAATCATTTGCTTCTCCCTACCACTGCTACCCACTACCTAACACATAGTAAGCATTAAGTCACTGTTAGCTATTGTTACTGTTACTCTTCAAGGATCATGCAGAGGATAGCTGGATATTTGATGTGTGAAAAATGGATATAGCAATATGGAAATTGAGACAAATAGGATAAATGTTAGTATCTCTGCAGGAGGTTTTCTAAAAGACTATTACAAAATTCTCCTGAGAAGCCATCTTAAGAAAAAGATTTTTGTGTGTCATAATATGTAAATGGGTTACTCATCATTTTTTATGATATATTTTAAAGGGGTGTTGGTTGCATTTTCTTTGAAATGGCTTCTGGAAGACCTCTGTTTCCAGGATCAACTGTGGAAGATGAACTGCACTTAATTTTCCGACTGCTAGGTAACAAATCTTTTAAAGCCTATTTAAAAATTTGATACTGAGACTAACATAAAGAGCTATTTGTTATATGAATTATAAATTAATTATGATAAATACAAATCCTTCTAGGTAACTTTTTACTTACTGTATTCCACCTTTGTGGAAGAACAGAGAAGAGAAATATTGAAAATTGACCTTTACCATATTACTAGGAAATATTTCTAGCTTAGGTGTCATTTAGGCATCATAATTTTTATGGCATCATTGCGTATTCCTAAAAAAAGACCATATGTTTACTATTTCTGTCATTTCTGTTTCAGTTGAAAGTCAGATCATCTACTAAATATAAATTGTTCTTTAAAACACTTTCTTAGCTCTGCCTACTTATATATATTTGCATATATATAAGTTTTTACATATTTATATAGGTTTTTACATATTTATATGTATATAATTTTTTTTAACTTAGGGACTCCATCTCAGGAAACTTGGCCAGGTGTTTCTTCAAATGATGAGTTCAAGAACTACAACTTCCCAAAATATAAACCACAACCTCTAATTAACCATGCACCCAGGTATTTTTTTTATTTTCTCTAAGTAAAAGGGGGAATATGTACTTGATTCTTTTTACTCTCATGAAGCATTATTCACAGTAAGGATTCTAATTTAATACACATACACAATTCTTAAATACTTTAGTAACTAATTTAATTGAGCCTTCCTTCCTGTGTCAGATTAATTTTATAATTCAGTGACCAAGGATCACCAAATTATGTGACCACAGAATTGAGCTGTATACAAAGTGAATATAGAACGTATGTATTAGAATTCTAGAGTATATACAAATGTTCCCTTTACCAGAAAGAAGGCATTAATTCCTTATTCAATGCCATGATGAAATTTCTGCTTCGCTTTCTACAGAATCAGCTCTACTTTTTTGTTTGTTTCTTTTGTTAATTCTCACCTAAGAGTATTTTTTCCATTGATTTTTAGAGAGAGTGGAAGGGAGAGGGAGAGACAGAGAAACAGCGATGTGAGAGAGGCACATCAATTAGGTGCCTCCCGCACATGCCCTGACCAGGGCTGGGAATCGAGCCTGCAACCTGGGAGTTTGTATGCTTTTGACCAGAATTGAACCTGAGACCCTTCGGTCCATGGGCCAATGCTCTAACCACTTAGCACCTGGCTAGGGCTATATATACTTTTTTTAAAACCTAAGATAGTGTTATAAGTAAAATCTTGACACTGACAAAAGGTGACTCAGCATTATTTTGGTCAGACTTAATCACATAATAATTGTATTTGAAGAATATAAACTCTGACCTCTCA